TCCATTTCTCCAATATAATCATGAGGTTAAATCAAACCTGCTTGACACATTGCAAATGCCCCATTGTAATCCTATCGGATATGATCATAATTTACGTAATTTACAAAATACTCCCAAAAATATTTGGCAAAAAAATTATGTTTCCGTGCTTTGTAATGTAATAGAGGGGCAGCGAGTAGGCAAAAATGTGTGTAACGGGACACGACATTGAATTTCAGATATTGCCCCTCCCCCGCACATGAAATGGTACAGTCCGCCTGTGGTGACCGCCTATTGTGCCCGCCTCTCGTGCCCTACTCCAGTACTCGCGTCACCCCTTACTCAAATATCTTGTCTATTCGAGAGGATATGTCGATGCATCATAAAGACCATCTAGCGGAAAAGAATCAAACTACACGCACAAACAAGTCTTACCGTAGCACACATACAGTATGCCTGGTGCACTTACTTTCTTCACAGAACTCTCCGGTGAACCCGCTCCTGCAATAACACTCCCCGGTGACCAGGTTACAGCCGGCGTTGTTCTGACATCTGCACACCGGAGCACAGCTCTTCCCGTGGAACCCTAGCGGACACCCTGGGAACGACAACACACACAGTTACCCAACATGCATTGCAAGATGAAAAAAAAAACTTATAAAATAGAACTATTGAACTTAGATCTACACTCAACAATGAACAAGAAATCGGAGAGATCAAATCTAAAGGGAAATAATTCGAGTTTTTGTGAGTTTCTAGTTTTATTCATTCAAGCTAACTTTCTGTTCATTCTCTGCATGGGACCCCATTTCCTGTATCTGAACTTTTGTGGTCTTAAGTACATCCTAAACCGAACATTTTCACTTGGGTGTAGTGTGAAAAGTGCCTTTCCAATGGACACAACATCCAGCCAAGAATTAAGTATTATAACTAGTAGAAGTACGAGCTACATAAGACCAGACATAAAATTTTGACACTCCCACACTGAGATGGACCACATATAAGTCCGTAAGATTCACAAACGAATATCGAATGACCTCTTGGCCCCTTATCCGCTCACCTAACCACTAGTCCATCCACGCCACTTGGGTTAACGACCCGACGTTTAAATAGGTCACCTCTAGAACCCCCTACAGACCGGCTATTGTCGATTCTTCCTAGGTGTTTGCCATTCCCCATTCACGCCATTTCCGCTCTTGTGAGAAAAGCTCCTGTCAGAAAAGTCAACGGACGACTTTTTCTATAGTTACTAATCCTGAAGACGTGAATGCGACCAAAGAAACCCTCCCGAGTCTTGTTTCAACACGAAAAACTCTTAGATGTCTCCGGTCAAACAAACGACTGAATGAAAAAGATGTTGCCAGTGTTATTTGTTGACTGTCACTTGGTAGAATATTGAGCAAACGCGGATGTCTATGCTGTCAGAAGAACTTTGAAACTTCGACTCTTGACTCCATACCATTCTACATAAGACTATATAACACACTCGTATCTGTAAATGGTAGCTTATCATGGCCACTGTTTTTTTGTGCACTGTACTAGAGCCCATCCCTCTCCTTCCACCGCCTTGTACCTCACCAGCCGAAGTCAGGTACCCATTTTACACCTGGTAACCACTTTACACCTGGGTGGAGTGAGGAAAGTTTTGTAGTGTCTTTCCCAAGCACACAACGTTTAGCCAAGAACGTAGTGTATAAACTCTTCTATTTCAGTGTAAACTGTAGTGAGGAACTGATCACCTAGTACCATTTTACACCTGGGTGGAGTAAGAAAAGTTTTGTAGTGTCTTTCCCAGTGTCTTAGCCAAGAATGCAGTGTAAACTCGTCTACTTTAGTGTAAACTGTAAAGAGGAATATTCTCCAGCCATTGCAGAATCGGGGGACATGTTACCTGTTGGACAATCTTTATTAGATAGAGGCAGGCCGCTGAAGTTGACCTTTTGACAAGGTAAAACCCGTCTAGCCAAGAATGCAGTGTAAACTCTTCTATTTCAGTGTAAACTGTAGTGAGAAACTGGTTTCTACAACCGTTGCAGAATCGGGGGACATGTTACCTGTTAGACAACCTTTATTAGATAGAGGCGGGCCGCTCAATTTGACCTTTTGATGAGGTCAAACCCGGTGGACCCCCAACTTCCGATCCCCTGACTCCCCGGCTCGTGTTTTGTAACAATCGGGCTGCGGGTTTCATTCAGCACATCAGTTGTGGTGGATTTGGGGGCGGGTTTTTGTTGATATTGGAGTCTCAGTCAATTATGATACGTCGTGTAGCTGTCAGTGTAGTCCCACTTGGTGACTGTGGGGAGGGCTTGGGCGTAGAAGGAACACGTACTCGTGTCAGAACTGTCAAAAATGGCATGTAAAAGTATGATAGTCATGATACGTATTTTGTAATTAATTACGTGAACGCGTTATACGTTATGCATTGAACATTAGCACCAGGTCACATACGTTGTACAATGGTCGTACGATTGTTATACGACAATTTTATCCTAGTAGGAAAAGGTCTTAAGATCCTTGTCGGCCGTTGCATGGTTTTTCAATTTTGCAAGCACAGCCTGCTTGAAAATTCTATACATGTAGTATCAACAGCGTACGACATCCAACGAAGATCTAGGGGGGGGGGGGGGCTATATAGTATATGTGCCCCAGTTAACTAACTATGGCATCAACGCTACTCTTTGTTGTGTTCTTATTAAACTGAAAAGGTTAAAGAAAAAGGCGAGAGAAAGAGAGATTAAAAAGGATATGTTCTACAGGAAGAGCTAAAAGAAGAGAAAACGTAAGAAAGTCGCACGCTAAGATTTCATTATCTGCAACATGTCAAGTCATTGTGTGGATAATCCTTTAGCTTCCTTGAGTAAAGCCCTCTAAATCGTACATAGATAAAAGCATTGTTGTTCGTAAGTTAAAAACACAACCCAAAACTGGTATCTCGAAAACGGAGATTTGGAGAGATTACAAAGAACAGCTCCTGACCGTGCAGCGCCTACGGCGGAGAGGCAAGCGGCGAGTGCACGAAATTGATCGGGACAGGGGTCGCTCACCCCCGAGTAAACCGGAAAACTCCTCTCGGGCACAATTTACGAGGTAATTTTTGACATGTGGTGGTGTTTAAAAGTCCCCAGCAAGCGCTTCTCGTATGTTGGCATCGATTTTTATTTCCAAGGTTATCCACAGACCACTCAGCATTTGATTTGAGAAAGAGTATGGCACACATGCCACTACCAGTGGGCTAGCCCCCTACTGTAGTGATTGCACTGTGTGGCCCAAGGGCTATAGAAACGGAGATGGGCGCCGCCATATGCGACCATGGCCATGCTAATGGTTGCGGGGAGGACTTGAACTTTTTTAAGGTTATCCACAGAGCGATCATTATGGCATATGGCCCCGCGCACCCGACTTCTTTTCTGCCAGCCTATCTTTCCAGTCTGCCTTTCTAATTACTGCTGCCCCGTAGAGGCGATCCAAGAAGGGGAAATTAAAGAGTATTATCAATTTTTAAATCCTCCAGGTTCATAGATAGTTTAGTGCTAAGATCACAAAGATCTATCGTATCTTCACACTAGTAGCCTCGGCGCCAGACTGTTGCCAGGGCCAGTATACAGGCTCAGCTTTTTGGCTGAGGACCAGGCTAACCAGGGACTGGCCTGTGTACTCGCCCTGAGAACAGTCTGGTATCCGGGCTACTTTACACCAAACCCCATTTTTGTGGGTTAAATGACTAGTTATAACTAATTTATCTGATTATCCAATCGGAAGCCCTTTAGCCTCACGGTCATCGCTCTTTGCTCCTCAAGTCAACTTGAAGCTGACATTGACCGGTTGTGCCTGTTTTGTCTAAAATGGGAAACTCCTGTTTGCTGCTCCCGATTTGGGGATGTTTCAGGGTTTTCCCGAGACAAAGCAAGTCGTGATAAGTGAGACAGGAAAAGTTCACGGCTGTTGGAGGGACGATAGTCTAATTTTAAACTCCAAACGGAAGGTCTTTTTACGTCTAGACGATTAACTAATAGATGTGAACGTGTTGGTAGAAAATGGACTTCAGTAAATTTAAAGGAAGACGTTTTTGACTTGTTTCTATTTTGGCTTTCGTATATGTTTTCCATTTAACACATGTACTTATTCGAGTATACTTTCAGATGTCACAGGCCTACTTCCTTTGCTATAATACACCGAATAGTAACTGATGATTTTAATGTTTGTATAATAGAGATGTTTATTGCAAATTCATGCCCGAGGGCTAATTGCATACAGAAAAGAAAAAAAATTGGTGGTATAAGACTATTTGCTAACATGAACTTCTACGTGTACGATAAGCTTATCGAACCTATCTCTACTTAAACCTAGTAACGTTTATGGGCCCCATTGAAAACCTATTTGCCAAAATGGAATGGGCTACTGCGAACGTAAACTAACCAGGATGGTACCCAGGCTACAGAAAAGACTTAAACTGCACAAATTGAAGGACGTATCTTGATGCTTTCAACAGGGCCATAATTTAACGTTATCTTATCGTCGCTTCCGCTTTGTGTCGCCATATTGAACATGTTTTACCTCGTGGGGGTCAAAGGTTATCGGCGGGCGCTTGGCTACCGGAAGTGGGTGCCAGGACGGAGAACAGTTGTCTACATCACAGTACATGTGCTGTTTCACGCTGTCACTGGTAACATGGACAGCAAAACTCCATCTGGCGCAATAGGACAGTCCATGATGTTTTTCTGGACTAGCCTGGGTGCCAGACCGTTGCCAGGGACAGTGTAGTCTCTACCAGGCTCCAGGAAGCGGCTGGAACGTCTGAGAGTAGAAACTGGCCAGAAAGACAGATAACATACATTTTTGTGCCAGGACAGTTGGTCCACTAGAGAATACATTTTTCTTCGGGAGCGGCAAAATGTACTCTAGCGGACCAACTCCCCTAGTGTGTTCTTTCTTTCTGGCTAATTTCTACTGTTTGCAGCCGCTTCTCGGAGCCTGGTAGAGGCTAGGGGACAATTTTACACGCTAGCTTCTCGGCTCGAGGACCAATTCAACATGTCCCCAAGGAAATTCTACCATAGACACCCATCAGGTAGACCAAGGATTTTAAACCTCCTTGGGTAGACCTTAAGCAGCAGGGTCTAACTTATGGCTGGCTTCAGTGTATTGGCCCTGACAACAGTCTGGCATCTAGGCTATTACAAATTTATAGTGGATATAGATCGGAGTGATAGCCTTCCCCATTGTACATGCACAGTACCTCTGGCCCCATGTCCTTGGGATGGGCAATCTACCTGTATTTGATAACCAGATTACCACCCAGGCTGAAGACCACACTCCCCACACCCCCACCACAGCCGACCCCGCCGCCTCACCTCCTAACCCCGGCACCACATCAGACTCTGCCTGTTTACCAGACAACGCTCCAAACACGCCTGGCGTCGCGTGCCGGCTTCTTCCCACCACATTCCTTGACAGAGACTTGACAGACGAGGAACACATCTCTTCTTTAAGAACTTGTACCACCACCGGTCTTAGCCTTATCTATAGGAGCGGTAGCTCAGGGGGGAAAGAATGCAGTCTTGAGGGTCTGTGAAGTAGCAAGAAGGTTCAAGTCTC